TTGGACTGCAGTCAAAGTTCAAATTCTAGACTGCAGTCAAAGTTCAAATTTTGGACTACAGTCAATGTTCAAATTTTGGACTGCAGTCAAAGTTTAAATTCTAGACTGCAGTCAAAGTTCAAATTCTAGACTGCAGTCAAAGTTCAAATTCTAGACTGCAGTCAAAGTTCAAATTCTAGACTGTAGTCAAAGTTCAAATTCTAGACTGCAGTCAAAGTTCAAATTCTAGACTGCAGTCAAAGTTCAAATTCTAGACTGTAGTCAAAATTCAAAATCTAGACTGCAGTCAAAGTTCAAATTCTAAATTGCAGTCAAAATTCAAAATCTAGACTGCAGTCAAAGTTCAAATTCTAAATTGCAGTCAAAATTCAAATTCTAGACTGCAGTTAAAGTTCAAATTCTAGACTGCAGTCAAAGTTCAAGTTCTAGACTGCAGTCAAAGTTCAAATTCTAGACTGCAGTCAAAGTTCAAATTCTAGACTGCAGTCAAAGTTCAAATTCTAGACTGCAGTCAAAGTTCAAATTCTAGACTGCAGTCAAAGTTCAAATTTTGGACTGCAGTCAATGTTCAAATTTTGGACTGCAGTCAAAGTTTAAATTCTAGACTGCAGTCAAAGTTCAAATTCTAGACTGCAGTCAAAGTTCAAATTTTGGACTGCAGTCAATGTTCAAATTTTGGACTAGTCAATGTTCAAATTTTAAACTGCAGTCAAAGTTCAAATTCTAGCCTGCAGTTAAAGTTCAAATTCTAGACTGCAGTCAAAGTTCAAATTCTAGACTGCAGTTAAGGTTCAAATTCTAGACTGCAGACAAAGTTCAAATTCTAGACTGCAGTCAAAGTTCAAATTCTAGACTGCAGTCAAAGTTCAAATTCTAGACTGCAGTCAAAGTTCAAATTCTAGACTGCAGTCAAAGTTCAAATTCTAGACAGCAGTTAAAGTTCAAATTCTAGACTGCAGTCTAAGTTCAAATTCTAGACTGCAGTCAAAGTTCAAATTTTGGACTGCATTCAATGTTCAAATTAAAGACTAGTCAATGTTCAAATTTTAAACTGCAGTCAAAGTTCAAATTCTAGACTGCAGTTAAGGTTCAAATTCTAGACTGCAGACAAAGTTCAAATTCTAGACTGCTGTCAAAGTTCAAATTCTAGACTGCAGTCAAAGTTCAAATTCTAGACTGCAGTCAAAGTTCAAATTCTAGACAGCAGTTAAAGTTCAAATTCTAGACTGCAGT